GCTTCTTGTTAGTACTAGTAAGGCACTTGTTACTACTAGCGATGCACTTGTTTCTACGTTCGCTTCTTGTTACTACTAGTAAGGCACTTGTTACTACTAGCGATGCACTTGTTTCTACGTTCGCTTCTTGTTACTACTAGTAAGGCACTTGTTACGACTAGCGTGGCACTTGTTACTACTAGCTTCTTGTTAGTACTAGTAAGGCACTTGTTACTACTAGCGATGCACTTGTTCCTAGTAGCGGAAACGGAGACCGCACCGAGGACCTTCATGCCAGAGCTGGAAAAGATGTGCGAAGAGCTGGAAGAGTCGGCAGCTGAGCAGCTGATGGTTGATGGCAGCGCTGTTGGTGCGTCGACTTCGTCGGTGAGTGAGTGGATCCAAACCGGATAAATATTAAATACACATATAATATATATATATAGCGAATTATAGTGTGTGTCATGTTTTTGCATATGTTTTTGCATATGTCAAATATGCACACAGTGAAGTCAGATCATGAGATTGAATAAGATAGACACTGGTTTTTCTTGATTTCATCGCTGTTTGGGCCTTGTTGGCCGTGAGAGCTGAGAGAAGGTTGAAAGGGCGCAATGCAGGGCGAATCACCCATTTGTTTGCAGGGTGCCCTTTCGCCATGTCGCTCTTGGATTGAAGTGACACCAGAAAAGCGCACAAGACTTGACTCTGCAACAAAATACAATCGTCAGACCATGCGCCGTCACCCTTCAGAATTGACCATCGAGGCCTTCGATGACGCACAAGGACTTCCGTCTTTTCCTTACAAGTATGCCGGGATCTTGGACCTCGGACTTCCACGACCCACTATGTTTGCATCAATCGCATAGCCACATAACATATAGGTCTTTGAAGTCTCTGAAGCAAAGAGAGAACTCCACATCCTCATGACTCATGATGACCAGTCTTTGATGCATTTCGAGGTTGACACACTGCAAACTGAGCCTTTGTGCTGCGATGTTTGCCTTCATAGAATCCGTGGATGGTCTCTTTCCAACCCAAACATCTCTCCAATCCCAGCACGTTCTTTTTCAAAAACATGCACAGTATACTGTTGGGTTCTCTCTTCGGAAACGAATTAAAAACAGACACATTGGCCACAGTCTCTGGCTGCGCGTGAACCCTGTGTCCGAGTGCTGTCCTCCTGTCCTCCTCTTCTTGTCGTCCAGTTGTCCTCCTGTTGTCCTCTGGCTGCGCTGACGAACCCTCCTTTGGTGGTGGCAAACCCCTGTGTCCTTCTCTTTTCCTCCTGCTGCCCTCTAGCCAGGCTTGCGTACTTTGTGTCCTCTGGCAATGCTTGCGAACGCTGTGTCCTCTGTGTCCTCTTGTTCCCCGAACAGTTTCAGAAAGAAATGGCTGGCCATAGCTTTGGCGCCGCAGTTCTTTTCTGCCTTGTCGGCGTCCGCCTGGTCCGCTGTGGGCCCTGCGGTGTCGTCCAGGCCTTGTCCTCTGCGTGCACACCGGGTTGCCTTTCTCCACCGCTTTGTCCGGGTATGTTTTTGTGTGGCTATGAAATGCAACAGTGTGATATCCTCGGATTTTCTCATGACATCTATCCGGTCGTTTTTGCACGTGTGATGACCCGGGAATCAGGCACTACTGTTTTCAAAAAGTGCAATTCCCAAACAGCTGGAAGCGACAGGAATATCACTATATATATATATATATCAGTTATTTACAGACGTTAAGCCACCGACACTGGAATTCAAGGAGAAAATAATGCTGAACCTGTTGGGGTCGATGCTGGCATAAATTTCAGAGTTGTTTCAATTTGTTTCATGGTGTTTCAAACACATGAAGCCAGTCAGCAACCCCACAGCATCCCAGAAGCTCTCAAACCAGTCGCCTGCCGTTGTTCCGGAGTCACTGCCGTTGTTCCGTTTGCAAGGCCGGCGGCGTACTTCCCCGTGCCTGTGCTGCAGAACGGCATCAAGCTGACCACGGAGCCGCCCAAGGGACTTCGGGCCAATGTCATGCGCTCCTTCCTCCCTATGTCCGATGAGCAGGTGTGGTTCAGAGGACACCAATTCGGACCAAGACGCGCAGAAATGCGCAGAAGCTTGCTAGCGCAGGTTGACGAGGTGGAGATGCTTTGCACATCTGCTTGGATAAGCAGAAACTGTTATGGAATGATGATAATGATGGCATTTTGTATTTGGTTCAAACGGGTTGTAGACCCACGGCCAGCACCATCATGCAGAGTTATTGAGCGAACAGGACAAACAGACCATCAAGAAGCAAGATCTATAAAATAATCATTGCCTAGAGGTCTTTTGGTAGGTTTGGTAATTTAGATGCATACTTGTACTTAGATATGGACTTTTGACGTTGCTGCTGAGCTCTCAGGGAGTCTGTGCTCGCGAACAAACCCTTAGATATGGATTGTGAAAGTATGTGAAAACAAATCGTTGCAATGTTTCGGCGAGTTCTTGTTAATGCAGTGTATGCTTTGGACCTGGTTGTCTCTTTGAATAACTGCAAGCTCTCCTTTTGCCTTGCGTGCCAGCTCAACGACAGCGCGAAAACAAAAGAGTGGCGGCGACTCCAATTTGGTGTGGCACCCAGCAATACAACAAACAACATCAACAACCACAGTAGAAACAAGTGCATCGCTACTAGTAACAAGTGCCTTAAGACTAGTAGTAACAAGTGCCTTAAGACTAGTAGTAACAAGTGCCTTACTAGCAGTAACAAGTGCCTTGCTAGTAGTAACAAGTGCCTTACTAGTAGTAACAAGAAGCTAGTATCGACAAACACATTCACTCCATGTCTCCAAGTCCTGGTGGCCCCTCGGTTGCTGAATCGGATCCGGTCGAGGCTTGAAGTTCTTCCATGCGGTGATTCAGGAGCGGCGGAAGTTCGGTCCCTTGGGATGGAACATCAGCCACTGGGCGATGAACAAATCCTGTCCTTGAGTCTGACGCAGAGTGGGAGAGGGCGTCCAGAACACCCATTTGAAGTGCCTGACTTGAGTCGGAACAGTCTGTTTTGGTCCAAAAATCCTGTCCTTGAGTCGGTTTTCGTCGACGGAAGACCTTCTTCTGTTCTGCAGAGCGTTCTGGAGGAGATTGATGTAAATCCCCGTAAATCCCCATCATCCACTGGGAGAACCACTGAGGAGATATGTCCCTTGAACATGTTATTCTTTTTGAGAAGGTGAACCATGGTGAACCAATGGCCCTCCTAGCTTGTCCACATTAGTTTGTATCAAGATGTATCAAGAAATCTGTCCTGCACATCTGGACTGAAAAACGGCTGGTCTTCAACGAGCACAACTTAGGTGTATATGGCGTATTCCGTAGTGCTCTTGTTTCATAGGCAGCCAGGTTTTGGTACGCGAGGAACCCGAGCAGTGATCACGCGTCAACTCCTGCGCATAACGCGTCACCTCCCGAGGATACGAGTTTAACGACTCGGATTTGGAAACATCCACGACGATCACCCACAACATGTTGGAATCTTGGCTGGACTGTACTGACCTCAGCACGTTCGTTATTGTTTTTGCGGCTTGTTGTTATTTTGTTTGTTCTTCTGGTTCTTGTTCTTGGTGTTGCTTGTGCGCTTGCCGTTCTTGTTCTTATTCTTATGAATTATGGTTCCGATTGGTGCATCTGTGAGATCATTGTAGGAGAACCTAGGAGAACATACGAATCAATGACATGCATATATAGGACATGCTGATACATGCTGCATGCAAATTACAGCCAGGGGAGGGTGCTGTTGCTTCCCGGACTATAGTTTGCCTAATCACCATTCGTTGGACCATTTTGCCAATACTTGCGTGCGAAAATGAGCTTGGCTTCGGATCATTCATCGAGAATGTTCATGGAAATTACCTGCTGTCAGGAATTGGATGGAGCAATTCCATGGGATACCCTGCTCTTTGTGATTGGCCACATCAACTATGGTGGCCGCGTGACAGACGACAACGACAGGACACACTCTGCGTCCAACGGTCGCTGGCCACACTTTGCGTCCATCACTTTGATACCCCACGACATGGATCATGTTTTGGTTGCTCGCTTTTGTGGGTGCCCAATGGTACTGAGAGTTCTGCTGTGGCTTGGAGGAAATGTTTGTTGGCCATCTTGGAAAAGTATGTCACGCCAAAGATCCTGGAGCCTGACTACAAATTCTCAGACAGTGGCACATACAGGCACTGCACTGCACAGGAAATTCCAACTCCTCAAGAGCTTCGTGTTCCTTTGGATGACTTGGCCACCAACCAAGTATCCGCCATGTGCCCATGTGGTTCAAGCATGATCAGCCACAAGGCGTCCAAGTCTTCATGGTAGATGAAAATCAGGTCGACATGACCTGGTGACTTCAGTCGATTAATGTGTCCAGGTTTCCCGACTCCGATGGTTTTCTTTCGACGCATCCATGCCAGGTGTCCGGACAATTCAGACGTCGCAGACATTGAGCAGTTCCGAAAGTTCGTCCGTCGCCTCAGACTGACGGACTGATGTTCATGCGAGTTACATGACAAGAAACAGAGCTTTGGAAAAGTTTGGAGATGGGATATGATGTGTTTGTTTTGTTTCATTTTTCCTTTTGTTGAATATAGATGAATATAGTAATATACTGTAACATTCAGAATCTTGTTGATCTTTGGACATTGGAGGTAGCGAGCTTCCCAATCACGGAGCAGCCAGAGGTGCTTCGGCGTCGGCTTCGTTCTTGGCTTTTTGCGCGAAGGTCGAATGATCGATTCGGATCGGTGCTAAGAAGACAGCGGTTGCAGTTCCAAAGACACACTGTTGTCTGCTGAAGACCAAGACGTACTTGACCAAAAAGGGTTAAGCGAAAGGGGATGTTGTGAGGTTGGTGCAAGGACCCTTTGGAGAAACACGGATGGTTTGTCAAACCTGCCAGGTTTTGGATATTATAATATATTATATATTATATATAATATAGGTCGGATGTTGAACAGAACGCATAGGAAGTTGTGTCTAGCCGACATGACCCCTGTACATAGTGACATCGTGAGAGATTCTGCCGTCAGACTAGCCGTTTTCTCTACCAACCCGCAAGGCAAGCTGGAAGGTAGAGTTGACCCATCCAATGCCATCTCGAAACCAAGTCACTTGCAGCCACCGTCGAGGATCCATCTCTCTGAAGTTCACACTTCGTTGGGGGTTTGGTCAGATTCTCACGTTTTGTGTTGGATTGCGTGGCTTTCAGAGAAAAAATCAGAAGAACGAAAACAGGTCTTTGGCATGCACGACAATGCCAACATTAGCTTCATGAGTCCGTTGCCCAGCGCTCTTTCTGTCTGTCGGCGGCCAGCTTTCTCCAAAGCGTCGAGTTCGTGGTTTCTGATTTCGGACCAAACGTCTTACATCTCTATACTTCGGACCAAGTGTCCTGTTCATCCAAACAGTCTCATTGACTTGCAAAGCAACTCGATGTTGCTTTTCCATCCTGCTGTACATTAAGGCGCAAGAAAGACCAAAGGGAGGTGAAGACATTTGGATGACAATTCGAGTCTTACTTGATCGCAATCACATTACAGCCGTTCTTCACGCATGTGTGGGTCAAGCACTCATGACTTCCAGTATCTTCCGATCCAGCCCTCCCCGTTTTCTTTGCGGCGACGAACGACGCCTCCCAGGTCAGGAAGCTGAGAAGGTGCTGAGTGTCGTCCTCTCCATCCAGCCACGCGAGGTGTGGACCGTCAGCGGATGGAGTACAGAGGGGTCAGCAGGAGAAGGGCAGAGGATGGCAGAGGGTCGAAGAATCTATTTTTCAATGTTCCATTTGCGAGGTTGATTGTGGATGATTGTGGGTCAGTAGCATGTATGCTTGTAGAACACCAAGAAAACAGCCTGCAAACATCTGCAAACTAAATATTCATCACCCACAGGAAAAATGGCAGAATAGGATGTTGCCTATCCAAAGATGGTGAACATCGTGCTTGTCGTCTCAACAATTCCACCAGCAATCCTGGGTGGTGCCAATGTCCTTGCGCCCGTCTTCAGCAATGTCCTTTCTCAGACCATTGTAGATCATAGTTGGCTGCTGTAGATCGGCGGCTAGTGGATGAGGACCCTTTCTTCCATCCAATGACACTGCTAGAACTGCATGCCCCCCGTCCATGGGTCCTGTCATCGACAGATGGTCGGCATCGACCGGTTTCGGTCAGGCAGGTGGTAGTGGAGGGAAGAGCTCGGAGGAGATGGTGTTGGAAATCGCCAGCGACCAAGAGCCTGGATCCAAGCGAAGCGCAACGACAACACGTGGACTCATGCGAAAACAGTCTGTCCAGTGGTGTCCAGGCAATCAGCCTGTGCAGGGATGTGGGTAGTGAGATGAGCAATGTGTTGACCAGAATGAATCATGAAGAACGGAAGCAGAGAGACATATGGCTGCGGCTCAAGAATAACTAGGGTGCCATTCCATGATATCCTATGCCGGCCTATGCCCCATGTACCCCTTTGTGGTACACAAACAACCAGCAGTGATCGAAATCTTCAGGCTAAGACTACCTGACAAGCTGAGCACTGAGAATGCGCATGCTGACAGCTTCGCCATGAGTGAGGCATCTGACAGCTCTCACCATAATTAGTTTGGGGTTATTTGAAGTAGTTCCATGGAAAGAAATATACCGTGGACATACAGAATCGTACAGACATGTAGAAGTAGAATAGACTAGAATAATTACGTTGGATAATGGGTCGCAGACTGGCCAGTAGTCTCGGGCACACTGTGGCTTACGGACATAGTTCTTCGTTCTCCCCTTTGTCAGGAGACTGGTCTGATGACCTCTTTGGGAACCTGTCTCTCCCAGGCAGGATGCAGCTTTCTTTGCATCTTGCTTGCGAAGCTTTGCTTCCATGTGTTTATTAACGTTTTGATATGTGTTGATCATTTTCTTGTACTGTATACAGATCAGAATTCATGCAAGCAAAGTGGATCGCGCAGGAGATGTCGCGCTTCAATCGCTTATTGTCTCAGATGAGCTTGACCCTGAAGCAGCTCCAAAAGGCCGCCTGTCGTTCCGCCACACCATGAAAACAGTGAGAAACCAGCCCAACTTCGGAGAAAGGGGTCCAACATGTTAAGCTGAAGGATCTAGCAGGTCCCTTTGTTCCTCATGTTTCTTGCAACGATGCGTTCCTGGGCTTCTGACAAAACTGACCGAGCTGGGAGCCTGACGTCAGGCAGTGAAGGGCATCATTGCACCTCGGGCTGCGAGTGGGTATGACATCGATGCATATGACACCTCTCGTGAGTTCTAGTCCGATTGAAAAGGGGCAGATTCAGAAGAACGAACACATTGAACTCTTGGATTTGACCCGACCCAGAATAGCATCCACAAGCCATGCAGCGAAAAAGAGAGAAGCTGGGCCACACCAAGAGGGTCGCCGGTGGTTTTGACCAAGGTGATGACCGGAGAGCTTGATGATATGTTCAACGCCGAGCTGAATAACTTGGTGCCGGGCATTTGGACGAAAGATGGCATCGGGTATCCGTGCTTGAAGCCCTTGAACTCCTGGTTCGAGGACCAAACGAGTGATGTCATGTTTCAAAGGACGTTTCAACGAGTTCCGAGCTCTCACCTCGAAAGAAACCACGATAACTTTTTTACGTTTATTAAGTTCCTCAAAGTCTAGGACCAAAGCATGAGTGTGAGCGTTTCTTCAAGGAAGCTCCCCCCAGCCATCTGGGTTCAAGCCCTTTGGCTTACGCCCCCTTCGGCGTGGGCCGGGGTGTTGCTGTCCGGCTGCTCGGTCGGAAGTGACACGTCTACAGACCGTTGGCTTCACCAAGCCACGGAACGCCATGGTGACGTTGGATGCAGGGCATGAACATGGGAAGTTTGCTGTTGAAAGTTTGTTGCAATGGGCTACATTTGGCATGCCTTCCGCCCTGGCATCTACTGTCAGTGCTGCTTTGAGGGGCATTGCCTCGACCGGACAGTGCAGAAGCAATGATGAAGATTGGGTGCTGTTTGGAGAGGTGTGTGATGTTCATCATGGACCGACCATGTGTGTACATCTCCGTCGCACTTCGATGCTCATGGCTGATGAGGTGATTCAAGCAGGTTCTTGGGACTCCTTTGACATCCTTTGTCCGGTGACCCATACAAGAGTTGATTTCTCGCCTGGTATGCTGGTGGGCGTCCTTGCTTCTCCGGCCAACCGCCTGAGTGACCACCGGATCTTGGCTGATGCGGCAGTTCCTGTCTGGAACATATCCAGGCATGACCGAAGTTTGGCTTGGCAAGTTTCACACCTTTTTGCTGGTGCGTATGAAGGCTGGCTTCGAGCGATGTGGTGGCTTCAAAACACCAATATGGGATTCGTGTTTGCCTCGCATACCTCGGTTGACTGGTGTCCTGAAGTGATGAAGACATGGAGTTACAACCACCAGCGGGAGGTGCTTCGAGCTCCAGTTCCTGTTGACTACAATCCAGTGTCCGCTTACAATGGTATTCTGGCGGATGTCAGCGAGGTGACCTTGTTGAGGGCCACGGCTCACAAATCCAACTTGTTGATGACGTTGTCTCCGCCTTGTCCGAGCTGGAGCAGGGGAGGCAAACAATCAGGACTTGCCTCAGATGAGGGCTTCTGCTTTTTGGATGCTGTTGAGCACCTTTGCCGAGTCCGCCCTGTCCTTGCCATTTTTGAGTGTTCTGATGGCATGGAGAATCATCCTCATTGGCGGGTGATTTCGGCCGCTATGCAATTGGCAGGCTTTCGACGTGTTTGGTCTCAAGACGTGGCAATCCACCAGATCACCAGTAACTTTCGTACCAGGTGGTTGGCGGTTTGGTGTCGAAGTGATGTTGAATCCAAGAAGATCAGTGAACGCCTCCAGCTTTCATCCCATCGGAGGTTGCCGTGGGACGACCCCAAGCACCTTTTTGAATTGCCTGCTTCGCTTACCGAGGCCCTTAAGTTGACTGCTGACCAGATGCAGATTTACGGGGACAGAAACCTGCTTCCACCAGGTAAGAAAGCCAGAATCGTCGAAGGGGCTTCCGCCCATCAGGTTTTGATGCAGAGGGTACTTCCAACCTGTGAGTACCTGCCCACCCTTTGTGCTTCGTACACGGCGCAACACCTGTTGCAGCTCGAGCATGTTCAAGCTAAAGGGATTTTTGCCACCCTCACGAGATGGCAGGACGATTTTAGTTTTGTTGACCCCTTTCTTTTTGCATCTTTGTTTGGCACGACCGCTACACTTGCTCTGCCTGCTGACCTCCGAAAGGCCTTTCATCAGTTGGGGAACGCTATTTCTCAGCTCCATGCTTTGGCTGGTATTCTTGTGGCAATGGAAGGAGTCTCTGGAGAGGTTTTTCCTAAGCTGGCTCTCATTCAGCAATGCTGGAACGATCGACTTACAAATGAGAATGCCATGGTTCGCTGTTGCAATGGCATGTATGTTATGCAACCTCTTGCGGATATGGTGGCAAAGGCTATCCCCAGTGTTGCTACATGGCAACCTTGGCTGGTTGGGAGCACTTTGATCAGGTTTTGTGACGACATGATACTTGTGCCGATGGATCAACCTAACGATGAAGCTGCCCTCCAGACCTTGCTCAGAGCACTGGAACTTGATGGTCATCTCCTCTACTTGATCAAGCTGGTGCATGACGGATCTGTTGTCCCTCCAGCATGTGTTTGTACTCAACTCCCTGCCGGCACGTTGATGTTGAAGTGTGGTGCCTTCCAGATTGGATCGGTGCAGGTCACCCATCTTGGCTCTGCCCCAGTGACTGATGATCCGATCCTCTCACCGACTCAACCCTGGTGTGAGCATGAACATGATCCTGAATTTGATGGTATTGTCGATGCAGCAAGGGCAGGGTTCCTTCATGTTGCTGAGTACGTGTGCCAAGATGAGACGCCTCGATCCAGTGCGAAGATTCTTTTCTTGCTTCAGGACGGCACCTTTTATTGGATTCAGCAGGCAAATGTCGAACGTCTTGGGAGTATTCCTGGGTTTCGGTATCATGATGGGTCGATGCATTTCATCAAAGCCAACTCGGAAGCGTGCAGAACCCTCATTGGGTTCCCAGTCGTGATGGGTATTCAAGGGGTCTACGAACCTGTCTGCCCTGGCAAGTGGGTGATCTTGGGTGGTGGTCGTGATGCTAAGTGGTTGAAAATCTGTCAAGTTCCGCGTACTGTGTCTCCTCGGCAGTGTGCATCACTCTTGCAGCAGCAATGCACTATCACTATCAGGAACTCAGTGCCCTGTTGCTGGGACCAACCTCTCATGCTCATCAATGGCGATGTCTTGTGGGGTGATGATCGACCAGGTGGTACTACATCTGTTGTTCTTGGCGGTATGGACCATCTCACGACGAATCCTAGCTGCAATGTCCTTGAGGACCCAACCATGGCTAGGTTGCTGCAGCTCAACCTTGAGCCCGGAGCCCTGGCTGTTGATGAAATGCTCTTTCACTGTGATATTTTGCAAGTTCTGATGCCTACAATTTGCTGGTGCCCACCTGCACTTTGGGTAAGCAATGAAGCTCAGTTCCGGTTTCCTGTTGAACCAGCAGATCTTCAGCTTTGTTTCCAACATTTTATGGTACCAATTCTTGTGGTCTTTGATTGGATCTTTGTCGAAGCCCGTTTCTTCAAAGGCCAGTGGAGAATCTTGTATCATTCCTCGGAACAGTTGACTCAGCGGCAACGCACAGCAGTGCTGGAATTGATCAATGTCATGGGAATCCAAGTTCCTCCCAACAACTTCAGGTGGATCCGTACTGCTGAGGACTCAGAACTTGCGCCGTGGTACACACTACGGACCTTCTATGCCCGAGCAGGTGCGCCTTTGCTTCCTGCAACACATCGGACTACGCAAAGATTGCAGAGGGCCCAATATTGCGAGCATGTTATGCAGGCCATTGATCAAGCTGACTTCATTTGGCGTGATACTCAAACAGATGACCGCATGCTGCAATTTGCTCGTGCCAGTCGTAATGCCTTTTTGGTTGCTATCATGGAATCCCCCAGCAGGGCTGCAGACTTGACCCTTCGATCGACAGGGAGACCCATGCATGTTTACAACATCAATGAGATCTTCTTTGTTGCTGATGAATGGTTAGACATGCGGGCCAACATCTATCGGACTCACCCTGGGTGGGCCACCAGTGATGAGATTGAGTTTACGCTTTCCTTTTTCATGCCGGAGCTCTTCGTCAAGGGCATTGGGTCGGTATTGAAGTTGTGCGCAATGCCAGGGAACACACCTGCAGAGTTGTCTTTCTCCAAGTTCCTGTTCGTGACCGACAATTCTGGACTGACTTTGCTAATGATTTTGTCGTTCCCTTTGGGTTCCGACCCATCATCATTGTCGACACCACCAGGACAAGACCCGGAATGTGCGGTTGGGAGCTCCTTCATCGGTGGGTGGTTGCGGATCTCACAGTCCCAGCTGACTTTCATATACCGCAACAGAAAAGGCAGGTGGTGGATCTTATCCTTGGTGAATCAGACATTGCCTGGAGAGCTGCTGGTGCGCCACCAATGTTGAGGACCTACGCTGACAATGTGCGCCGAACCTTCCTGCTGGTCGGTGGTTTGCAGGTTATGCAAACCTGCTCTGCTGTCTCCCTTGGCGGTATGGAAGCCTTGGCCCAAACCGATGCCGCAATGCAGGCTCCTGATCCGTGGCAACTTGACGACCCGTGGAAGTCAAAGAAAAAGCAAGCCAAGCAGAGCAAGTGGGAGGACCTACAGCTGCAATCGGACCACCCCTTTGTCGCCAAAGACAAGACACCTGTGCCCTTTGTGCAGAAGCAGCAACTGTCCACCAACCGAGGTGGTATTGCCTTTGTCTCCAAAGGCAACATACAGCAGATCATGGAAGTCAAACCCAAAGAGGCGTGCGCCCTCCTATTGCCGCTCATTGATCCCACCGACTCGCTGGCCAAATTGCCCAATCTGTCTGGGCCCTTCGAAGTCATTGTCTTTGACCCTGCATTGAATCAAGAATATAAGCGACAGGTGCATTTGCTTGTTGTCACTCCCGATGTCCACTTTTCGCTACCGACCCCTTCCATTACTCTCACGTTGGCTGCAGTTTGTGAATTGGTCTTGGAGTGTGACGCACGACTGACAACCAAAGACACCTTCCAGTCCTTCTATGACAACCCCTTGAGCAAATTCAAGGCAATGCTGAAAGATGTCTGTTCAGACCCTATTTGGGGGGCATGCGGCCATCTATGGGTACAGAGTTGTGCAAGAGCATGCAAAGGACAAGCATGATGTGGTCCATCAATGCCTCCTCAAAGTGCAGCAGAAGCATCGCGTCACCTTGTTGGCGGCCAGTGGCAACGGTGACCTCATGGTCAGGGATTTCATTCCAAAAGGAGAGCAAGTGGAGGATTTGTCCATTATTCCGCGCTTCTGGCCAATTGACCGTGCTAGCAAAGCTGACCTCATCAAGGCTGCCTCCTCTATCACCGGTTACCGGGGCATTGCCGTTACAAAACGGGGTCTTGCTCCC